TTGACGTGGTAAACATAATAAAATTGAAAAAAAAATTGAATTGAAATTTTTTAGGTCTTTTTGATGATAGTAAAACTATGGGAGAAGCCTCAAAAAAATGAAAATTTTGAAGGTACAAAACCATACCTATAATTGATGAAAATAATCATGACCGTCACAATAAAACAGTTTTATTTTTGTTGTCAACGACAATAAAACAGTATAATCCCTGAAAGAAGGGACAATAAATGATTTCAAACGCAGTCTACATTTTTTTTAGTCAAATAATTCGACACAGTCATGTTTTTTTTTTTTGAGAAAAGCGACCACTTTGTCGGATCTTCTTTATTTCATGACTAAGAGATAAATTAAACTTAATACACGGTGGTTTGTGTTTCCAAAGGTATGTTTTATGTATTCAAACCATCATCTGTTCAACTCCCGAGTAGAACTAATAATAATAGTACCTCGAACGTTGATCTCGTTTTTCTCAAAACTATGGTTTTTCCCATTTCCAACTTTGGAGCTCTATAACTTCGCGGTTTTTTCATCTAGCGAGACGTGTGACCTCTCAAAATGTTCCAAATTTAACCAGGAATACGTCCATATGAATAAGTCCAATAGTGCCAAAGTGGTCCCTTTTCATGCGGACGTCCACATGTATAGCAAGTGTAGGCGTATACAATAGTCTACCAGTATATTTCTCTACATTGCCCTCTATCATATTTCTATCCTCATCGTTTAAGGTTTCGAGTGCACTGCTAGAAAAAAATTGAAATTTCATGGCCAATTGAATAGTAGTTTTCAGGAATGACATTCAGTTTGATTTAGGGAAAAGAATCATCAAATTCAAGATGTCAGGAATACCGACGTCGGTGGCCGGGTGGATTACACGCAAGTCTAGTGTGCGAAAGGTTGTGAGTTCGATTCCCCGTGCAACCGAATTTTTCAACGGAAGGCTCCGGCGAGCGGGAGGTTGCTAATAGAGGAACCGCCTGTACCGGCATAGGTTTTCTATGGTTTCCCCATGCTACTTCTATGTTCTATAGAAGTGCGAATGCGGTACAGTGTAGAATCCACAGCCGCATGCATAGGGTTGAATAGAGTGCCGAATGGGATCCGAAAAAAGGGACTCCGAGGCCGTAAAAAAAAAAAAAAAGATGTCAGGAATTATTGCCCCATCTGAATGTGATTGTTTCGATAATTTTCGGTTATTTCCTTTTAGCTGCATGGCAACCGTGAATAAAAATTTACCCCGCAAAAATGTCATATCCTGCATTAAATTTTTATCACTCGAAATTCAGATCGGAGAATAATCCAACTGACTGTCCCTTGCGCTCCAAAATTGTAGAAAATGTTTGTCAAGTTTTCTTGCACATCAACGATCGGAATAACTATTGCCATAAAATTTCTCTCTCTTGTTGAATTATGAATTTGAAAATAAATCCCATAAGAGCACGTGGATGAGAATCAAATTGTTCGTTTCATTTCGTCGAAACCACTGTAATTATTTTTCCTCGTTTTTCAGAAGTGTCGGTTTTATATGTTCTTCTAATATTGTTTCAAAGAATTACAGAATTTTTCTCGAACGTAAAAAAATTGAATTTTTGAAAAATAGAAAAACATTTAATCGATGGAAATTGTTTGTTTGCTGTGTGGATTTTCCCCTCGGGTGGATTTAAAAGTCTCTTCTTAATTTTTCTCAAGCTATATGTAAAAACATGGGTGAATAGCTAGTGAAGGTGGAGAACCACTGGTTCTCCAGGGTGTAATTATCGATATCTGAGTGCAATCGGTCTTCGCTTCCCCCTCCGGACAAGAAACAAGTTCAAGGGGTCAGAGATTATACACTTTATGTTTAGCTGCAACTCCCGGTGCATAATCTTGAAATACAAACTTTTGTTCCCTCTCGCTCTGACCCCACACCTATTTCTTATCCAGTGGCGAGTTGTCTTCCACCTGTACCTCTGGTGTATGTACAACTTCAAACTCGATTTGCCATTACAGCAATGTCACTTTACATAATACACAGGCGGTCCTTTGCGCGTCACGACGTCGCCAGTCCCTCCGTCAGGGAACGCGCGAGAGGGAAATGACTCTCGCCGCAAGTTTAACGATGGTCTTCTAAAAAAATACGGTCTTTTTGCCTTTTCCTTACGTTTTTCTCCTGAAATTTAAAAAGTTTTTCAACATCCCGTGAATTTGAGGAAGAGGCGGTGAAAAGAACCTGAAGGAAATAGAGACGATAAAAAACGACTGAAATGAGTTGATTTTCTTCTCTCCTATTTTTTCTTTATTCACCAGCGGCAGTTCTGATATTCTTGAATTTCCGTTCGTACAGAGACGAGGTGTGAACTTGAAGTATTTAAATATTGAAAGCTTGAGCATAGTAGAATGATTAGTCTACCAAAGACCCGGCGAAAAAAAAATATAATGGAAAGACAAAATTTAATTTCAACGGTTGAAAAAACTTCCCACACGGGAAGAAATATTTAGGACATAAGGACTACTGAGGGTGCGAAAAGTCCTGCTATCCATACAGGAAAATTTTTCGCATGATTTTTGTTATTTTTCCCTAACTTTAAAAAGAAATAATTAAATTTGTACCAACAGCGGTGGCTGTGAGGTTAGAGTGCGGGATTGGCATGCGGGAGACCCGGGTTCGATTTCCGGCTGGAGGGGGGGGGGGGGAAATTTGTGACACTCTAAAATCTCACGGTTTCATTGTCGAGCGGGAGTCTCGCAAGAGATGACTGTACCTGTGCAGGTTTTTCCCTCAAATGAGGTTTTCCCTCGTTTTTCGGCGAATGCAATACAGGGAGTTGGGGGGTGGGAAGGGAACAAATCGTAAGGACCCGAAAGGGTACCGTCAGTGTGGGGGTTATGGAACACTTTACGAGTAGAATCCACGGTGAACGCTGTGATACATGATTTTATCTATAATTTTAGGATTTTAACTTTTGCAACAGCTAAAACAATATCTCTCCTTCAATTGAAACATTTTTTCATATTTATGGGGTCAATAGATTAATTAATATTCAAGAAAAGGTGACGCCCGGCAAATGCTTCACTTATGGAATCCCTGAAAACAAAATGTCCCCCTTATGGAACTCTCAAAGGTACCAGTTGTGGAACAGGGAAATTCATATGAGGTTATAGATTTCTCTAGGCTTGGAAGTTGATATAAATACTTTATTCCAACAAAGTAATGTAATGAGAAGAACAAATATAATCGATAGTTCATAACATTAATTATTCTTTAAAACATTAATTATTAATTGTTTTTGGAATCTTATATTTTTTACTAATGGAACAAAGTGATTTTCCTTCTTTCACCTCTGAGTGCCTTCTGCAACGTATATTCTGTGTATTTCTCAGTCACTGCCTGCTTCTTCTTATTTATTTTACCCCTAATGGAAAAAATGTAAAGGGAATTAGTATAAATTAAAGGGGAATTATTCTCAGAGGACGAAAAGAGGTTGAAATATTTAATTCCAGTGGAAATTACATTTTCAAGAGACATTCGAAGAGAATTTATGAGAGGTTAGTTTTTTGAGAGGCGGGGGGTTCGCTAACTGCCTCAAGACCGTGTTGTGGTGTCTCAATAACAGAACCCCATTCTCTTCAATTGAATTAATCATTTTTCTAATGTTTTTCTATTGAATCATCAAGAATAATTCATCTAATGTCACTACAAACACTTTTTAATTCACCAAATACTTACATTTTGGGAGAAAAGTCTCATTGAACACGGCGATGCACTTGCCACGCGAGTGAAACCCAACAACTCAATTCACACATACGAGAGGGAGTCACTCGCTCGCCACTTTTAACGGATTTATTTAAAATGGTTTTCATTGACTCACCTCGACCAAACCTAATCCTAGGGAAAGATAAGAGACCATCCTACCATCGAGATGGAATTCCCTATAGTTTTAACACGGTTGGGACTTTATTTTCTTAATAAATGCTTCAAAGTGTTCCAGTACCCCCACATGTTCCATTACCCCCACACTGACGGTATACGAGAAAAAAAAAAATTAATTAAATTTGTATTCTCAAAAATGAATATGAATGGATTGGCAAATTATGCACCTCATACGGTCAAACACATCTCCCTTACTCGAAATTTTTGATGGGTTACAACTAAAAAATTACTTTTAATTATTGAAAAAATTTGACTGAAATTTCAAGAATAGTCTTCAACTTCCCAACCCGAAGGAACTTATTGCAATGACCCCGAAAATGCAAAGTGGACATTGAATGATATCTCCACGTTTCATGCCTCTTCGAATTTTTTAATGATATTTTTGAACACATATCTGTCAGTGTGTTTTTTTTGGCTCCATGGAAAAATGTCTACGCATAATGGTAGACTTTAATGTTTACTGTCACACCCTGTGTCGGACCTGCCCCAACTAAAAAAACCAGGTGACCCGAAAAATTATTTTGACCCTAATTCCCCTCGCGGCACCGATGATGATTTGGCCTAATGTAGCAGCCCCCCCCCCCTGTTCCGCTAAGATTTTGGGTATCGACAGGAGGTTCCAATAGGTTCCTCGCCTATCCCTGCAGCTTTGCACTCGCGTTCCTGTCTTCAGAGCTGCCCCATGACTTCTGTCGCGAAGTCGCTCGTTGCGTCCCAGGCCGCCCTTGATGACAGCATGGCTGCTACCAAATCCTTTGGCAGGATTATTCCTCCAAGTGTGAAGAACAGGTGCTCCGCATCTTCATCCATTCCTATGCAAGCTGGGCACTTCGGGGAATCTTCATATCGAAATTTATAAACATACACTTGGAAGCACCCATGCCCTAATAGCATCGGCGTCAGGCAATAGTCGACCTCTCCGTGAGTACGGTTCAGCCAAAACCATGATGGACGATAAGTCCATCTCCCGTTCAGAGGTTTCCCACTTCAGTTGCCATCTATGGATGCTATTCTGTCTCTCTTCTGCTCTTAGCTCTGTTGCAATCAATGTCTCTGATCGCTTCCGCTAATACAGGGATATTTTCTGTATGGCCTAAAGAGTTGGCCATTCCTCGGCCAACTCTTCAATGGGTAACATCCCGACGATGACACACGCTGCGTCTTCAGACACTTTGCTGTATGTGCTTGCCACTCTAAAAGCGCTTAGACGGTACACTGGGGCCACCTTCCGCCTTGTTTCCTGCATCTGCAACGCGTCAGCCCAGATGGCAATGCCATATGGGAGCACTGACGTGACCACCAAATTCAGCAATGCTCGTCTCCTTTGCTTCAGACCTCCCATGTTGGGCATGAGACGTGACAGAGCGACTCTGATTCCAAACGCCTTAGCGTTCACATGCTCTGCTTGCTGCTTGAAGTTCAGTCGTGCGTCGAGCATTAACCTCAGATACCGAATGAACGGCTGGTAGGTTTATTCGTAGTCACCGACTTGCAGGGTGATCGTCTCGATAACTTCCTTACTTGTAATCAACATGGCTTCGGTTTTATGCTCGGTCAGGCTCAGGTCAACTGCGCCCATCCAGCTTCGGACAAAGGTCCTGTCGAAGGCAAGTTTGATCTCGAGGTGTTTCCTCACAGTGACTACATCCACATCATCCGCAAACGCCACGAGTTTTACATCGCGTGGCAATGTCAGCTTCAGCAGACCATGGTACATGATATTCCACAGGAAAGGGCCCAACATTGAACCCTGAGGCACTCCTCCAGTGACTCTGTAATCTTTGGAGCCACACTCCGTGTCGTACTTGAGAACCCTTCCGGTAAAGTAGTCGTCCACCATATACCGCAGGTACCCAGGTAAGCTGAATCTCTCGACGGCCTTCACAATGCAGTCCCACCTACCTGAGTTCAAGGCGTTCTTGATGTCCAGTGTCACTACTAAGCAGTACTACTTTGTGCATCTGTACTATCTTTTCCCTGAAATCATTTCACTAGCGGTGTTGACGACCAGGTTAATGGCCTCAACGATGGATCGGCCCCTCCGAAAGCCGTATTGGTTGTTGGCCAACGATTGTTCAACTGCTGTTTCTATTCTCCTGTGGACGATGCGTTCGAGGATCTGGGCAGATGTATCGAGTCTGCAGAGGAGATCGTAGGATGAGGGTTCATCCGGTAGTTCCTCCGTTTCGGGAGCACCACCAGTACCTGGTGCTTCCACTTTGCGGGGAAGGGGGCTTCGCCGAGACACTCGTTGTACGCGTTCAAAAATAGACCTGATAAGGCGCGGATAATAGCTTTCAGCTCAATGTTAGAAATTCCATCAAGGCCAGGGGCCTACCTTGCCGCAGGCATCCATCAGCTCTTTTTTAGTAATTGGAGGGAACCATCGCTTCCTGTCCCCGTTTGGCGGTACGATGAATTTCTGGTTGTTGTGGAAAACAGCACTTTGACGATCTTCTCCAGGAGCTCAGGGCACGTCGGCGATGGCATGGACTTACTCGTGAGCTGCATCATCACCATCTTGTACGGCCTGCTCTGCAGATCATCTTCCACATCAGCAATCAGCTCACCCCAGGAATGCGCCTTGCTGTATTTGATGGTCTTCTTGAGCTTATGCCGTGGCTTCTTGTATTTGATCGCCAGCTTCTCAAAGTTTGGCTTCTTTTAGTCACATTGGGACGATCTTTTTGCTGCATTACACTCCCTGCGCAGATTGGGGATGGTATTGTTCCACCAATATACCGGTGGCCGCCGGTCGATGGTACGCTTTCTGGGCATGATGACATCACAAGCTTCCGTAAGTCTCCTCATGATGTAGTCTGCGTTCTCAGTAACATTCCTGCCACTGATTGGGTGATCGTCTGATACCAGTAGATAGGAGTTAGGATCGAAAGTACTTACTTTGCAGCCAATTGCGTTAGTCTTCTTCAGCGCTGGTCCGTATCTCCAGCTGGCGGACATCTCCCAGAGTATCGAACGATCATCGCTCATGGTGTAGATGTCAGTCACCTCTCATCATCGTCGTCCTTTGCCATTGGTCTCCTTACTTTCCCAGTTGACTGCCCAGGCATTGAAGTCTTCGGCTATTGCCACGGGGGAGTACTGCTTCTCATCCTCAGTCAGTCTATCTAGAAAATCAGTGAACTGATCAATCGGGCGGCGCGGCAGGGCGTAGCAGCTGTAGAAATAGATTCCACCAACCTTAGCCCTCACAAAACCATACTTGTTGCTACTCTTGGTGCTCTGGAAAGGTCGGTTCCCACAACCAGATGATGACCTTCTTACTGATGTCAGTAACCCAGGGTTGAATACCAACATGTCTATACGGCTCTGAGATAATGGTTGTGGTGAGCTCCAATACCTTCATTGTCGTTAGTTGGTGAGCCTCTGGAACGCCTCCTTCTATACTGGACATCTATTGCTATCAGCAATGTAGGCACAATTATCGATCCCACCTTTTTCGGTGCACAGGGCACATCGAAGCTCCTCCTAACAGTCCGCAATCTTGTGGTCAGGCTCAGCGCACCTGACACAGAGCTCGGACCGATCGACTTCACTCCTGCATTTAGTGGCGAGATGGCCGTAGTGCCAGTTGAAACACTTGACTGGTCTCTCCACTCTGCTTATGCGTCAGCACACCCATGCTATTTTGATCTTCCCGTGCTTCCACATGATCTGTTTCGATGCGGTTGCTGTGCGTGTCACTGAGGCAGTCTGGGTTCCTCCGTATGTTCGGCGTATGGACCTGATTGCCACTGGGTCAATCGTATACGCGTCTCCAGCTACCGCTTGCAGTGCCTCGAGTACCTGCTCTTTCGTTGTAGTCTGGTCGAAGTTTTTGATTTCGAGAGCCTCTTATGGCTCCTTATTAAACACCTCCGTCTCATCTCCGAGAAGACTGGCGATGGCAGTACGCAACAGCTGAGGGGTTTCTTCAGTTGTCCTTTTTTCAGGATGAACAGCATTTCTCCGGTTGTCGTCCGCCGCATCTTATCGAGTCAGTTTGCTTCAGGGGAATATCCTTCTTCACTCGACGGAGTATGTCAGCATATTTCTCCTTGTTTTTGGGATGTATTAATCAGTGCATCAGGTCTTGGCATAGATTTTCAGGGAGTCTTCCTCTGCTTCTGCTTCTTCTTCTTCCTTTTCTTCTCTCCTCCTTTCCCGGTCTGCCCCCTTTTTTCCTTCCTGCCCTCCAGCAGCTTCCATTGTGTCTTTGCAGGTCGCTTAGTAGGTGGCACTACCTGCTTGGCTGGGACCTGCTGCTTCAACTTCTTCGTATCCTATAGCTCAGTTCCAGGCGAATATCGACCGCTTCCTTTATACAGCTCTGCGAATATCTCGGGTGAGTTACAACATAGTTTTATCTTCTATCTACGTATCCATCCTCGTTGTTTTGGAGTCCGTGCGCGAACGCAGCAGCAGAGGTGTTTCCAGCATTTGTACTTCTTTCGAGGCTTTCAGCCGTTTGAAAGCGCTAGCTACCAAGATCGTCTTGGTCTTGATCTATGCGTGAATGTTCTTCTTGGGTTGCACACACTCAAAATGCGTAATTTCTAGTCTCTTATCACTCAAGCCCTTGGTAAATTGCGAAAAACACCTAAGCTAGGGCATTTGTTATAGTTTTAGTAATTAAGCCTCAAGCACCGACGTAATTGCCGTATTGCCATGTAGAGTCATTTAGTTCCTGTTTGAGGTGAATGTTGACTACTTTTTTGATAATGTTTATAATGTTAATACTTGGAATTGGTGGTAACCATGTGTAAAAAGCCGAAAGGTCATACATGCTTGAATAAAAAATTGAAATTAATTCACAAACAACATGTGATTAAACCTCAAAAACTATGTTTTTTCATATATTTCACTACTTCTTCTAGAGTGATACTGTGATTTGAAATTTTTTTCAATCGATGCTTGTCAATGTAACTTAGAACTGAATAGAATATTTATTTCTTTGATGCTACTTTTACAGTTTTACATCTACATCAGCCAATAATACAGTTCACCACCATCATTAACGAAAAGAAAAATAACAAATTGCTTTCCGCCCCAATCTCAACTGAACAATAACAATAATAGAGGCAGATAAATCTCGCCAGAAGTCAACGCAGACAACTATACCGTTTTGAAACATTTTTAAGAACACTCGCAAATAAATTTAAGGAAATTTTCGCAAATGACAACATGTTGTGGTCATGCTGAAAGATCCGTCTCCGGTGTTCCGTGCGTTCGTTGGTTTGGTTCCACTCACAATCCCGCTGTTCCTTTTAGCCTCTTTCTTCCCCGATGGAGCCATTTTCCTCTTTTAGCACCCTCAATACTTTCTTCTTTCGTGTTTCTGCCTCCTTGGCCCTGCATACTGCACAAATTCTCCACGTCACAAAATGTCTCGTGGCCACTCAATTTTTATTCTCCATCACCCTCACTCTTGCTTCTCTGTCTGCGATTTCTCATTGTTCTCCTCTCTTACTCAATTACATGATTTCTATACTGCCCAGAGTCTACCATCCCCTTGTTCCTAGATTCTTTCTTTCCACAGAATTTGTAACAACACCCTCACTGCCTCGTTTCAAGCCGCCGCTTCACTGTAGTTCTTCCTCAGCATTGATGCTTGATCCATTTTGCCTAGTCTGCTTTCTTCAATCCTAACGATTTTCTGCCGTTTGTCTAAACTTCTGTTTTTCCTCCATAGACTCGTCATGTTTTCATCTACCCAATCAGCTTTTGCCACTTGGCCATACCATTCAGCTTCTTCAATACAAGGAATTTTTCTGGCCCCTCATCCTCTATCGTATATCTTTGCAGTTTTTCATCTGTTCGACGCTAGTTTTTTCTTCTCCTCTGCATCCTGGCCTCGTAGCAGCATATTCCCAGTGCCACACGTTTTATCTCGTGGTCCCGCCGATTATTCTAACTTCATTCCTCCGATTGCCTCTTCTTTCTCTTTTGTCGTTTGATTCCCGTGATTTTTCCGCAAAATTTATTTTTGTTCGCGTCCTTCACCCTTATTTGTCTCCTCTTATCCACTTTTTATTAATTATTCACTCCTTTTTACCACCAAAAACCCGAAAATTTTCTGCCAGCTTGCCCCAAGCCTACCTCGCGTCGCTATTTTCATCTCAAACTGGCCACTTAGAACTGATTAGTTCATGAAAATGATGGTTCGGCGCTCCGTTAGTTATTCGCATAAAACGTGTGAAAAAAATTGTGGCTATATTAGATGCTTATTCATGCATACTTGTTGTAAATAAGAATATAAAGCAATGGTTGTTTCTGCATGTATGACACTTTGCGCGAACGAATTTCCATCAAAGATTATGACAAATCTGTGGAATTTCATAATGACGAGCGAAATGATCCTAACGGTCAAACGGGAGAAATATGGGCAGAAAAATCAAAAAGCAGCGGCGGGCGGATTAATCCGAAAGGTCAACCCTC